TGGCCGCAGTGGCCGCGCGTGGCCGGCCGCCGCCCCCCTGCCCGCGCGTCTGGGGGCCTGTGCGCGCTGGGGCCGGGAGGGGAGCGGGTGGACAGGCTCAGCGCCCCTGGGCAGGCCCGCCTGTGGACCGGGGGGACGGGACGGACCTCCTGCGACCGGCTTCTCGGGCCCCAGCTTCCTGGTCCCTGCAGTCCCTGTTAGCTCTTCCAAAAGCTCCAGGACTCCGCACTTCTACAAGTGAGGTGACTTTTGAGGAACCCAAGAATTGGGATCCCAGCAGCTCCCTCGGCGGGTCTCACCTTCCAGGAGGCAAGGGAGGATGAAAATAGCGGTCATGCGGAACCCAGGAACGTCCCGGCTCCGTCTGGGAACCCCCGCGTTTGTTGACAAAGAGGGCCAGTCCACAGAAATGGATTTAAACCTGTCTCTCCCCTTTTTCCGTCTGACACACCCTTAACAACCAACCCCACCTACCTCACCCCAGCTCCTAACGCAGTGTTGGATTCGGGAGATGGGCTCTTTTGAAGGAAAAGGCATTGTCCACACCAGGGCAGAAGGAAAGTCTGGTTTGGCCTCTTTCCTTTCATTTTATTCTTTTGGCCCCTGAGCTTCTCCTTGGGACCCTCAGAAACAGATTTCTTCCTTTCTCTATCAATCTACAGTCAGTTTTAGACGCCACCACAAGCACCACCAAGGCTGGCAACAACCTGCTCTGGTGTTGATAGTTGTTTCTTTTTGTTCTTGTTGTTTTGGTGGGGGAGGGGAGACTGCAGTTGCTTCCCAGCCAGTCCTTGGAGAAGAACCTTAGTCCTCCGCTCCCACCAGGATCTGCTTCATGGGTGTGTGACTGTCCAGTAGCACAGAGACCCGCCTTCAGAAGGGCCTTGTGCAGTTTAACGCTCTGCGACAGTCGTCTGCTGTCACTGTTTTGGAAGTCTTCATTTTGGCGCACGGGTCTTCACATTTTCCTTTTACAACACACCATACAGAGCTTGTAGCCAATTCTGCTTCTCATATCTCCACTTCCGTAGTCCCTTCACTTACCCCACACGAAGACGTACAAACATACCTCAACAAACCACTGTCTGTGTTGTGTGCTTTCCTCTGTAGTCAGTTATGTTTTCTTTTTTCTTTCTTTTGTGTGTGTGTGTGTGTCACCTTAACTTTGGTTCTCTTCCAAAATACTGCAAGGCAGTTTCTTTAGTAGTCAGGATCAGTAATGGCCCTTCGCTAGTACAAGGCTCCACTACCTTGTGTTACTGCTTTAGAGGAGATTTAAATTTATTCTCTGGATTTAATAATTTGGTAAGGCAGACATATGTGATGATATTTTCCCTTCGTGGTTAACCTGTGAGGTAGACAGATGCATCTTAGGTAGGGGAATGGTGGAATTTTTCTTGATAAAATGCCCTTGTGAATTATCTAAGAGGGTTTTTTTTGGTTTTT